TGCTGTGTAGCTGGAGATTATGTGGATTCCAAGGCACACTTGAAAACCATTTTCCTCTGGAGACTTAAAATATAAAAAGATTCACGAATAAAAAAGTGAAAAAAAAAATCTTAATCCTTATCTCCCTGGCTTTACATCCCATTATTCTGGGTAACTGATATGTGTGAAAACATTCTGGATTTCAATTTAGCTAAACCTCTGACTCATGGGGAACAGCTTTTAAATTTGTTCATACCATTCTTATCAATCAGCTGGGTCTGTGTAAAGGAAATAGAAATCCGGAAACCTAATCAGCCCCTCTGAAAAATTGCCATGTCTCCCCAATCGGGGGGAGATCAGATTTCCAACAACCTTTCCTCCAGATTTTCTCCATTTCCTGGTGGTTTTTATTTTAATCACAACACTGTTGAGCAGATCTGTAACTCTGTGAGTTTTCTAGGCGAGGGTGGATGTTACAAATGCACATCTTATCAAAGTCTCATAGCAAATATTCCCTCTTTGGTGAGACAAGCACGCTAGTACTCATGGTTTCCTTAGAAAGTTAGTTAATCAGAGATGCAGTGATGGCAAGAGGCTGGCATCAGCACTCAGACTTGGGGGAACAAATCATAGACTTTTTATTGGCTTCTTTGCTACAGAAGAGTGGTAGCAGAGTCCAATTCACAGAGAGAGAAATGAGGAAAGTCGTAAGTGAGCAAAAAGACCATAAAACCACCCAGTCCAGTCACCCAGTGAATCTTTTTATGATTGGTAGATATCTATTTACTGTGTTTAACTGGGTTAGTATTCTCGAGGATAACTCATCTTACAAATTGCCACTGGATACGTGTTCTACCATCAACCCCAAACCACACAGACTTCATGACAAGCACTGGCAGTGGAGGGAAGAGGTACAGGAGTGTCAAATCAGCTCTTCATTTATGATACACTCATTTTAAATGCTCTCAAGCCTTGCATGACTGGACACACACTTTATGAGATTTGCATTTGCTGGACTACAGAGAAAATCCAATCACACCTGACTAAAAACAGATGGTTGCACGGTAGCTTTCCTGCACTGGAACTGGTTCTTGTTCTACTGGTTTCCTTTACATCCAGAAAACATTGATTGGATTAAGTTTATGAGTAAATCTACCAAGAATTAAAAGATTTAGTCTGGCTATGTAGATAGGAGAACAAGGCAGATAATTAGGCAGAAAAATGGACACACACAGAATCAACATATCAAGGCATGAATTATATACTACGCAATGGACCCACTTGAAGTGTAGAATGGGTTAAAACGCACAAGAACTTCTAATCTTACAGAGATCATAAAAGATGTCATGTAGAGGGAACAATTTCTCATCTCTTTCATTGGTAAAGCTCAGAGACACTGAACCAGGCCACAGAGGTATCAGGCGCAAGGTTGGGAAGTGGGCTTCCAAATTTGCAACTTCTAAGAAAAACCAACCACTGACTGGGCTGATAAGAGAAATCCGTCCTCATGTAGCAGTCTGTGTATCTTTTTTTTTTTTTTTCCATTTTATGACACAGTTCCATAGGCTCTGGGATCCCCCAAGCCTTCTCCAAGCCCTCCCTCCATACTGATTTCCTCCATATTATTACAGCAGCACAGCTCATAACCAGTCATAATTCCATCACTGCAGACATGGACCAGGCAGGCAGTCCAGCCTCTTATTGTCCAGATAAATTAAACAGTTTCATTGGGAGACCATCATCCTTAATCTGAAAGCAGAGCTGGCAAAATATCATCCCCTCCAATGAAAAGCCACAACACAAATTCAACAACAGGAAGAAACATGGAAATTTACAACATCATGAAGTCAATTGACATGGTACTGAATGACCAAATGTGTTCGAAAATGCAAGCTTTTGATCACATCCTGTAACTACTTCATTGACCTCTTAATTTTAGTTTATATATAACCGACTGCTATAAACCTTAAAATTAGGGTACAATTCAGCTGTCTCGTGTCTTTTTTCCTTCATATTTATATTTAGCAGCTTCTAGTATTCAATCGTGATTTTTACTGAGCTTCATGAATTTTAGGATAGTCCAAACAGGCTTATTAACTCCATATGTTAATGACTGAGGAGCAAAACAGTTTAGGAGGGGAGTGCAGGAAGTGAAGAGGTGCCCTGATGATGGTCAGGAAGGTCAGTGGAGACCCAAGATGTTCACTGGAAACTGGTGGTCTCAGGTGGGAAAAGTAATCCCAGACCAGGTTAGCATGTAGATGTGTATGAATAGCATCTACGAATGGCTTTCCTCTGACAAGAGCTGTTACTGTCATATAAATTTTGAGAAATATTATGGAATTTTCCTGCTTAAATGAGAGAGCAGATCCAACTGGTAGAGAAAGTCATGATTAAAGCAATTAAAAGAGTAAAAGCACAAAATACAGTGACAATATTCCTCCTCTTTAATATGGATAGGCAGACTATGCCAGTGTATTGAAAAGAGTCCACATGTTGATCTCCTGTGAAAACAGAGTGAAGCTATGCTCACTGTGAATGAGCCTGTTTTTTGAGAGGAGGGGAACATCAATTAGCAATGTCATTTGTTTACCAATCTGCCTGCACCTGGTTCTCATTTGTCCTTCAGCTGAGAAACCAAAGACAACTTTTTATTGCTATGGTCAAACAGCAAGTTCATTTGGCTCTGGGATGATCAAATGGCTGGCCTCCTCCAGCTTGGGAAGGTCCGCCTTTCACTTTCAACTTGTTCAATCATCATTAACACGGAAATCTGTCACATTCCATTTGGGCAATGAAAATTTCACCACTGGTGACCGTTTGGGTCAAGTTTTTGTAGGCAAGGCCCTAAATCTTGGAGGGCACCTCACATGTTCTCAAGGTCATTTGCCTCTTTCTTGTTTAGCAACAGTTGTATAGGGACTCTGGAGTCACACTTGTGACCCGTATCAGCCACACCAAGAAACCCTGGGTGTGGGTTCACATATTCCTAGAGCCTGAAAGAACTCCCTTTGCCATTTGACAGATTTGATAATTAATCAAGGAGTATGAAGGTGTGTGGCTGGCACACACACACACACACACACACACACACACACACACACACACACTTTCCTTTGTTACACTTTATGGGCATACATGCTAGGATTTTTATCAAGCAAATGTCTTCTTAACGGCTAGCAAAGCCATCCACTGGCAGGGCCTCCTTCCTCTGGGAAGTCAGCTCCTTTGGAGAGGCTTCTATATCTGCTTGGAAAGATTCCAGAAGGTTTCCAAAAAGGAGAAGTCAACTTCTTTTTATTGTTGTCACTGGGCTTGAGAAATTTCCATCTCCTTTGTTTATTATTTTATTTTCTATTTCCCCCTCAATATAAAAGTTTTGAAAGGTTAAATCTCATTGCATCTGGCACAAAACCACATCTATGCCAGGCACTCTCTAAAGAGGAATCTGTGAAAGTGGATGTCAGGCAGCAAAGTAGCTAAAAGGGAATCACCTGATCTAGATCTTAATGAAAGCATGCAGTGCACTGAGAAAAGTCAAATAAATCTTATGCCAGTTGGCAAGTAAGTCACAGCTAAAACAGGCCCTGGTTTCAGTCCCTCATTCAATTTTCAAGGCCAAAATTAAGAGAATATAGACAGAAAGCTGTGTGGGGCCTTCAGGTCCTTAGCACCAACACATTTATTATGTGGTTTCCAAGAAGGGCTTCTTCAGCACCAGCTCTAGTCATAATTCTAGGGTTTTACTGGGTTGGCTGCTGAAATTAAGAGATGGCTACTAATAGGTACAGATTACATACACAATGCTATAACCCTGTTCTACTAGCCCTTATCATAATACATTATAATATTTGTTGTCGCTATTTAATACTTAGTTGGCCAGTAGAATTTGGAGGTAAGAGTGCAGGTAAAAATAGTCTAGTAGCTTTTTTCTTTGTATAAAAAAGTCAAAATTATTTTTTTTAACATTTTATTCAAAAGGCAGAGACAGGTAAAGGGAAATCTTATGTGTGCTGTATTACTCCCTAAATGACCATAACAGCCAGGATTGGGCAGCACCAACACCAGGAGCCAGAAACTCCTTCGGGGTCTCTTATGTGGATGGCAGGGACCCAAATACTTGAGCCATGATTTGTTGCCTCCCAGAATGTACATTAGCAGGAGGCTAATGAGCTTGGCCTTGATTTAGGTATTTACTCTGACATGGGATATGGGTGCCCCAAGTAACAACTATGTCACCAGATGCTTGCAGCAAGATTTTTTTCCCTCTCCAATTCCTCTGCTAATACCAAACCAGATCCTTGATCTAAAGAGAAATCATGTCCATTCTAAACCTCTAGACAGTGTCCTGCCATTTTAATGCTTGGGTTGACAGCAGTTTTTAATTCACTTTTTAAGAAAATAAACTTCAACTGGATTATTGGCTGAAAAATGTTTGTGTATTGAGTTTTCCTGGAGAGATCTTGATTGAAACACATGTATATGTACTTGCACTCTTCTAAGTGGTTTTTTTTTTAAATAAACATTGGCTTCTTTATTCCTCATGGTAGTTCTGAGAACTGTAGGAACTTACCTAAGTTCAGAGAATCCAGGCAGTCTGGGTCCACTCCACTAAGCTATGCATGAAATCCTCTCAGGGTACACAACCCAGAGGCCCATCTACCTGTTGCTTTAGTTGGGCAGCTTGTGCTAAGAGAGTAAAGTGTATGATGTGTTTCCCTTCACAGGGACTTTCCCTTCCTCCCTCTCCTGACTTCTTCCTTTTTTTGTCTCCATCATTGTGGAGGATATCCTTCAATCTAAGTTTCCAAGTGAGCTGGCAAGCTGTCTTACTCTGTATCTGTTGTTATTTTCTTTCTTACACACACACACACACACACACACACACACACACACACACACACACACACTACTGCTGTGCTTCAGTAAAGCCACAATGGGTTTGTGATTTTGAGCATAAAAGCATAATACATCGTTTGCTCATTAGAGCTAAGTTTTCAGGATGTGCCCCATTTACTGACCTCCACTAACGGCCTGGGTTTGCGCTCCACTGCAAACCTGAAGTGGCAGAGTTCACAGTAGCTGGTGTTTGAGGACGACAGCCAGTGCTCCAGGCAGCTCCGATGAATTGTCCCCAAGGTCCCTGTGCATTCGCATGGAGAAAGCAAGTCCTCTTGGCTGCTACCTTCATGGCAGATCCTGCACATTGGCCGATCATTGAAGGGACTGCAAGAGAAGGGGGTGGCACCTGCTCGTCACTGGCTAGAAAACTCCAACATGCACATGGTCCTGTCACACTGTTTCCTTGCATCTCCCCAGGGGCAGGTGTTCAGAATAGATACCTGCTTCAGCACCCCTTTAGACTTAACGGTTGACCATGGCAGCGCGACTAGTGGTCATGGTGTTCCACAGCACTCAGGTTATCTACTTTTGTTAGTACTAGGACTATGGGGTGGCTACCCTCAAAGTGGTCAGGTGTGGCCCACAGTCAGGAATGAGTGATAAAGAGCAATACTGATTGCTGTTTTATGTTGAACCTAGATGTAGTTCAGGCAAATAGTCATCAAGAAATAAAAATCCTCCTTTATCATTGAGAAGAGAAATTGTTCTGAAATGATTCTAATAGTGGCTTCTAGTCAAACTACCAGGCCAAGAAAAGATTTTGTACTTAGTGGTTCTTTTTGTCTCATCTTTCAGTAGGGTAGAAGGAGAGGAGGGAGGTTTGCCATCATCCAACCCTGAAGCCACTGTGCAGGTCTATAGTCTGAACCAGAGCTCTGGGCTGCAGGCAGGATGGCCTCTGCACTTCTGTTGCTCACTGGGATGCCACAGACATCACACTGTAAGGGAGTCATAAATATGTCCTACTAATTGGTTTTTGTCTAGAATTCTGAAGTTTTTGTGAAGGTTGTATGGAATGATCAACAGTTCACAATGTGGGATGTGCTGCAGAATCCAGCTGTCTGGGCTATTTCCCAACTCTGGTGCTTCCTCGACAGCTAACTTTCTGCGCTCTACTCTTTGAATCTCTAAAATGGGCACAAAAGAAGAGTGCCAACCTTTGTTCCGGCCAGCAGAGCCAGTAATGTGGACATGGTGAGGGTCTGGGGATGAGGCACCGACAGGAGACCAGTGATGGTGGAAGTCTCTCCAAAGTCTCTCTTTTATTTGCCCTTTCACCTCTACTTGTTTACTCTTTCCCCCACATCCTCATTAACGCATATTGGATACAGCTGAGTCCAATTAGACCAGGTGCTTCTAGCCCCAAGCCCACTGCCTGTAGTGCTCACGAGTGCTAGTCAACTCCTTAGCCCACAACAAACCTTAAATGATAACTATGAGGATGAGAAGAGACAAGCCAAAGGAGAAGCTTAAAAAATGGACACAGTAAATACCTAGTTAATGTTAGCTGTGTTATTCATGGCAACACTCAGAACAAGGAAAATCAAACAACATGGCTATCTCCATGGAGGTCAGTGGCCAAGGGATAGATTAAACTAGGAGGCCTTGTTTCTCATTGGGTACTATATTCTGGGAGAGGGCTGTTTTCCTCTCTGATTGATGGCTCCTTATAATAATACTTGAACTGGTTTTCGTTGACATTAGATTTTAATGTATGTCATCACGATATGTGAGAACCCTAGGACTACCCTTGCTACTTGCCCTTCTACTGTTGTCAGAGACAACAGCGGTCCAGGCCATCTTTGGTTCAGATGGAAACAGTCAGGGAAGTATGGTTATTTCTTACAAACTTTTCTAGAAACAATTGTGGGAGCAAGAGAAAGCTGAAAGGGAGTTTAAAAAAAAAAAAAGAAAAGTTACTGGAGGTAACTTTCTTCTTTCATGATTCCTGGTTTCCATGGAGCCATGTGCATGGGAAACTCTGACACCTTTTGGTTCATATTCATTGTGTGTCAGTAAAGCAGGTAAACCTGCCACACATGCATGCACACACATACGCACATGCACATATGTACACACATGTCCTTATGCACACACATGCAAATGCATTCAAGCTCACAGCCTCACTCAGTCCACCTGCAGCTTCCTCTTCCCAGTCCCTGGAGGCGATGACGTTCACAAGGGTGACAGGCACACTCCCAGCTGCCCAGACTTATTTCACAGGCAGCCAGTGATGCTCACCACCTCAATGACTGAGTTCTAACCAACTGTCAGAAGTTCCCTGTATCTTTCTGTTGCAACACACACACACACACACAATACAGGTTTTGAATAGAAGCCTAGGGGCAATGTTTGCTTTGGGTGTGGGGAAGTGATTCCATGTCTGTGGGCTACCATGTCCAGGTTGGTTTGTTGCTAGTAATCCCACTGCAGGGGAATGCATGCCTCTGTGGCAGGACCAGAGGGTTCAATAAGTCACTCAGATGGAAGTAAGTGGTTAATGGTCAAGAGTACTAGAGCTGACACTGGGGTTCTAGTCTGGTGTTAACACACAGTTTAAATTTACAGGTCAAACATCTCGGAGAACTGTTAACATGCCAAGTGCACCTGCTGGCCTGGCAGCCTCAGTAGGCAACAAGAACACAAAAGGAGATTCCCTACGGACAAAGTGCTAGCCTTAATGATCAGTCTCAGAACTGGTCAGAGACTACTCTCACTTTGGTTTACCCTATGAGAGGACAAGCTAGGGAGCTTTGAACAGCTTTTACAGGACAGTGTGTTTGAAGGGTCATGAATAGCAGCCACACAGGGCAGACAGGACAATAGGACAGGACTCTAGGTGTTGACATGATTTTCCCAAGAAGGGGCCATAAATGATGTGTCTATCAAGGTGCTAGCAGGCATCCCAGGAATGTTTCTTCAAAAGTTCTGCCTACAAATCCAATCACTTAGACTTACTCTTCTGCAATCTGGGGCCTTCCTTAATATAATTGAGGGCTGCTTTTGTCAGCTGCCAGACAGTGTACTTAGCAAGGCAAAGTGAAAAAAAAAAGTAAAGTCAGTGACTGCATATCTTGTAGGACCCCACTCTGCCTGGCTCTCCATAATTGAGTCTCCAAGTGGAACACTGGACAATTTGAATTTTAGCTTTTATGCCATATTGCTATAGAAACAGTGGTGACAGAACTTAGGGAGTATTGTCTTTTTTTTTTTCCTCCAAGCTCTCTGCTTACCTGACACAAAAATATGAGCATGAATTGCCTTCCCTCTAGTACTTCTCATCTGACTAAGGGTTCTCCTGATCAGTTACAGATCTGTTTATTTTAGTGGTGGTACTACCTTTGCGTGGCAAGAGTCCGCACTACTGTTGACAGCAGCTGTCCGTCCTTGGCTGAAACTTGCATGACATACTGTGGCTGCCCATTCACGAGGCTGCCACAATCCTCCACAGTCTTCACCACGGGCGCAGTTGAGCTGGTGCAGTCTGGCAGGACTTCGGGCAGGTGACTGCAGCGGCTGGTTGTCATGGTAACAGACAGCAATTACTCTGCTAATGGCTTCCACGTTCATGCAGGATTTCCATCTAAGAAAGATCAGAAAACAGGTTTGTTGGCCTGGACAGTTAATAGAAAATGGAGAATCATGGGCTATTATTATTTAATACAAATAACAGGGTAGCTAACAGGGTGACTTGCTACCATTTAATACAAGCACATGGGCATGCATGCACACTTGCACACACACAGCCTGAGAGCCACGGCAGGTATGGTTGTGAACAAGACAGGAAGCACATCAGTGTATAAAAACGTTAGAAGCCTTGGCTTCCACAAGAGGATGAAAGGATGGCCCTCCAGCCCAGATCTGAAGAGAAGACATGTACCCCCTACTCTGCGCCAGGAAAGCAGTAAGCCTTTGTTAATACTCTAGAAGCTACTACAGTTAGGACTAAAACCCTTTGCAACTATTTTTTCTTGTAAGAAATATATTCTCTATGCAGCTAAGATTAAAAAGGAGAGAAAAAAAATTTGGCCAAGTAGCAGTGTTCTAAAGGACAATATTTGCCGACAAGAATCCTTTTGTTACTATTCTGCCATATGTCCCAAAATACAGATTATCTACCTAATAAGTCCTGAAAGTTAAATACTTTTGAAAACCTATTTTACCCTTGTTTTAAGTGAAGGTCTTCAATGAAGTGATGACTTTGAAAAGCTTGCTCTTTTTTTTTTCTTAATGGACATGAGAATACATTAGCACTGGTGTTTTGTTTGTTGGGATACTACCTAAGATTCAGTGACACAGGGACACAAGAAAGTAGGTGATGTGCGAGCTCTCTATTACCCACAACAATAACCTGGTACTAAGTGCTTGATGCCACAGACACAGCCCCAGTCACACAAACCAAGGAAATTGTTTCCTGATTTGTGTGTGGCATGCTGGGGTCATGACCTTAGATTCAAAGCATTCAGACCCACTGGAGTGAGGAACCCCATACTCCCAAAACTAGGTCAGCCTGTGATGCCTGGGAAGAATTTGGTCCGAAGGTGATGTGACACAATGTCCCTGTGTGCACAGATCCCCTCTGCCCGTCTCATCCCCCAACACAGCCTGGGCTCAGCAGATGGCCACAGGATTGGTTGATGATCAGAGCTCATTTCAATCACAGGTCTGGGTGGCCAAAGACACACTTCCTAACCTCTTCTCTCCAGGACTATGTCCTCCCGGATGCTGTCTACAATCATTATATCTTACTTGACCCCTATAGGTCTGGAAAACAGGAACTTTCCAATGTTCAGAACAATGCAAATCCATCGGATATTCTCAGGGCAAGAACTCAGTGCCTGTAGATGAACTTGAGCTGACAGTTCCCTTGTATACAAACATAAGTCAGTGATGACTGCCTGAGCAACTGGGTGGGAACATCACTCCTGCTTGTGGCTGTGGCGTCTGCTGTGGCCCATCAGCTTCTCTTTCCCATTCTCCTTAGCTGCCTCAAGACCTCTTACAGTCTGCACCTGCCTTCTCCCAGCAGCCTGTATATCTGGGGGTAAGTAGACCCAAGTCTTTGGCTGAAGTTTATGGCAGGGGCACAGGCTGGGGATGCTAACTCCATTACACCAGTACTGAACATTGAAGGAACATAACTAGATAGCTAGTGGAGGGTACAGTATTTTGATTTCTAAATAGAGTTTGTTTTTTTTTTTTTTAGTACCGCAAAAGCCAGATGTCTCTGCTACAAAAACTATAAAAAAACCACACAGAAAATAACAAAACTCACTTATAATCCTGTCACGTAGATAACCACAATAAATTTGGGGGGTGAATGTTTTCTAATTTTCTGGGAGGAATGGGAGGGTGGAGTTGATGCATGGTTGGGACCAGACAGATCTTTTGTTTTGTTTTGTTTTAAACTGAACTATAGCAGTTTTAAGGCCGAAGGACCAAAGGATGTCAGAAGACTGTCCTCTCCGAAAACTCTGTGCGACCCCCGCCTTGCTTGGATTGCTCTTACAAAGCCCCATTGACATGACTTTAAATTCTCATGATGCCTCACAGTCACAGAGTGTAACTTCCTGGCACGGCTCTCTGGCTTCACAAGGCAGCCATAGATTAAGAGCCAGGGTGTGTTGGCAGGAAAAGCAGACACAGTGACCTTCTCGCCGCATGCAATCATTATGTCTGGGTGCACTGCGAGAGTCTATTTTCGGGATTTGCATAACTTCAGCTTGGAGGGCCAAATGCTCCCCCTGATGCTTGACAGAACTGGAGGGCTGGGGAGGGGTGCACAGACAATGTCAAAGATGTCAGGACTGCTGAGAGTTGGGGCTCTCCTCTATGGAAGGGCCTGTCATTTGGGCACCTAAAAGTCGCTGAGTGTGCTCACCTGTAACCTAGATTAAGTCCTTGTCAAAGGAGATAGCTCTAAGGTGTGACCTATATCCACAATGAAATGCCATAAAAGGAAGGAAGGAAGGAAGGAAGAAAGGAAGGAAGGAAGGAAGGAAGGAAGGAAGGAAGGAAGGAAGGAAAGAAAAGAAAGAAAGATCCTAGAAGCAACTTCCCTTACACTCACTTTACACTCACAATTTCCTTTCTTGATGAAATGGTTGGTCAGTTCATTTCAGTTGCAATGGGTGCTGGACATTGAGTTCATCTTGTAAAGGAACCTTCTGGCACCCCAACCTTGCCCTCTTCTATAAGAAAGCCCTGGCTCTTTCTCTTGTGCCATCTCAGCAAAATGCCAAACCTAAGACCCTCCAAACTCTCATTTAACTTAGGACCTCCCTGAAAGGATATCTCAGGCCAGCGTTTTCTGAAGAATATACAGCATATCTGCTATACGCCAAACTGCAGACTCCCCTTGAGATACTAAGACTGGCATGCCAGTCCTGCTGATCTAAGAACAGTGAGAATGATTATAAAGTATGAGCGCTCTTAACCATGGAGGGAATGGCTGACTGGCCCCTAGTCCTGAAACAGTGGCTCTACCTACTTAATGTGTGGAGAAGGGAAGGGGTTGTTCCTGCTTTGATCTCAGGGAAGGCCACTTGCCTCTACGTCATGCAGAGCAGGCAGGCTACATGTACCCAATGGCATGCATATATCGCACCTGGGGCTGTGATAAATGGCCCACTGCCTTCCCTGTCTCATTCAGAGCCACCTGGGAAAACAGCAGGTTGTCTCTGTGGATGCTAGAAAGACCTAAGCTTTTGGTTTCTATCCCAGTGCTGGTCTCGTGCTGATATTTCGGAAAAGAATCAAGCACCATTCGGCTGCTTTCTTAACAATATTTGCACACTGCTCTGACGGGAAAGGAGTCCCCTGGCCCATCCAAGGATTCTTTCATCTGGGATTTCTCAAGACAAAGGCAGAAATTCCGGAGGGAACAGTGCACTTGAGCCCCAAATGGCACTGGTGAGACAGCTGCTTTGTTGTCCAGGCTTGACACCTGGTATGACTTCTTCCTCTTGCTGAGAATAAAACAGGATTTGGCACTGGACAAACTCAGCTTCCCACAAGAAGAGCAGGAGTGGGTGGACAAGAGGGAGACAGCAAAAACAGAGAGGTTGGCTAAATAAATGAAAGCCTGATTAGAGAATTGTTAAGATAACAAGCCTTGTCTGTTAAACTGTGACCCCTGCAAAGGACAGAATACAGGTTTCACAAAAGCAGGAAGGAGCTTCAACCAGGCTGCAGAGAATCACAGCTGTGCTTCTGGAATAGGCTGCAAGTGGCAGGTGATTTCCATGGGAACGTGGCTGCCATCAACAGATGTGCTCCACTCACTTTTGCAGCCCCCAGAAACTGCAGGAGGACCATTGCACTGAGGTGCAAAGCCAACACCCAAACTTGTACCGTGGATCCGCATTCACTAGGCTAAGTTAAGCCACCTTTAGAGGTACTTCTGAGATTTTTGTAAGGTTGGAAACTACAGTATCAATCTTCCTTAGCTAGCTCACCTGGCCAAGGACATGCGGAAACAGCAGAAGGTGCTTTGGGAATTAGGAGTGTGTGCCATGCACATGTGAATCTGTACTTCCTTTCTAGGTCAAGCTTGGGTCCCACTCCTTTCTCAGCTTGGGTCACATCTTAGTTCTGTGTTTTGAAACCATCTTCCCCATGGCTAGTGAAGCCACACACTGATGGATTTCTGAGTCTTCCCCAGCACTGTTGCCTTCAGACCTGGAATGCAGGAGTCAGTCTTCCACGAAGATGCTTAAAGACAGGGAGGCTCTCCTAAAAGCTGATGGAAAATAAACATTATGCAAAAATACGACTTTTAAAGTTTTTTTTTTGTGTGTGCACCAAAAGGAATTTATCTTGTAATTCTGCCTTTCCATGAACTTTGTGGTGTGTCCTCAAATACGTGAAACCTTGCTGAGATGCCAGTGGTACTTGAGTCTAATTTTAACAGTCGCTGCCTTTATTTTAAAGAACCTAACATGTGATAAATAAATAAATAAAAATATGTAAAACACTAGCCATTCTCAAATCCCCTTCCGGTTGATTTGCATCAGAATTGTATTAGCAGAGCCAAGTCAAATTTGGTGGCTTAGAAGCAGCTGGACAAGAGGGAGAGATTTGTTATGTTGGTCTCGTTGTCTGGGTATACAGGTGACTCTGAAGATTTGAAGAGAAAAAGAAGGGCATCAGAGTGTGAGAGCTGGCTGGCACTGACCAGTTCACAGGAACCGCACAGCCAGTGGCCTGAGCAGGCCCAAGTTTGAGGGCCTAATTGGTGGAGCAAGACTAGAACTTCAAGTTTGACCTTAACACTCAATTCCAGAGATTTTAAGAAGTAGCAAAAAGTACAGAAACTATCAATGAAACTAATGAGTTATTAATCAACAGCTATAAAGTTCCAGGCAATAAAGATAAATAAGGTGTAGCAATCTGCAGTGTGATACCATAACTACAGTCAATAATCATGCACAACTGTGCATGGATTTCTGAATTTTTCACACTAAACTTTTCTGTGAATTCCATCCTCTAAGAACTTTAAGTAAGTCTTTTTTTTAAAAAAAATATTTTAAAAATAGTTTGAGAGACAGAAAAATTAAGACAAATAGACAGGGCTACCTTCCA